AATGGTTGTACAAACTGAAACGGTTCCAGTACATCTGGGTCACGTGGTTTTGTCCCCGTGGGATTTGTCAGTCGCAAACTGAGCGAATTACCTTTCGGGGGGGGGGATTTCGGTGCGATAGAGAATACTGGAGTAAGAGGATCTATACCTCTATCATCTCATATTTGAGTGTTCTACTCCAATTAGTGCAGGTTCTTTCTAAGTTAGGCATACCAGACCAGACCTGGTTTGTTTAGAGAATACGGAAGCGGAACTCCGAGTGAGACCAACCTAATACGTACACTTTCATCATCTTTATTGTTCTATCGGTAGGATTGATCACTTGAGTAAAGCCGCTTGTCGTCACGGTTCAATTTTATCTTCGAATATTTGTGGCTACGCTGTCAAGGGCCGGAAAACTCCGACAGTAAGAACAGTATCGAAACCCTCGCAATTAGTTCGAAAGAGATCAACACACAGTAAGTCAGGAAATGGACTTTTGTAATACACTCAATGGATTTTGTAAAACGTACGACTTATAGAGCAAGAGTCTGACGTATTTCACATACATCTGAGGCCTGACTAAGTGCCAAACACATCACAGTTCAATAATCCTTATAAAAATAGAATCTTGTCATGATTTTCACGTGGGCGGAAGACTGTCAGGTTTTTCAGGCCAAAACAGGTGAATATTCGTGGGGAATTTACAACGGAAGCCTTGATTAGCCAAAGATTGATCCAAGAGACAGCGGGACGGTGTGCGATCCATCAGGGGGCCGAGGCCCAGTTCGTTGGATCATACACCGCCCGTGGACGGGGTCAAATGACCAAGTGTTTCACTCATTCTTTCATGTTAGTACTGCATAAATGTTAAAGATCGCCGACCATTTGTTGAAAAGCATTCAAGCTGATAAATCTAGCTGTGCCCTTCAATGCGTTCATTCTACCTCAGTAAATTTAAACCTATGATAAGAAAACAATACACGAAAAATCCGCGGTGGAATTTTCCTAATTCATGAATAGCCGGATAGCAAAACGTGATTTGATTGATATTTGAGGAAAGCAATGAGCAAGTGTGAATGAAATCTAATTAGTTATTAGAAAAGAAACATGGATTGTCATTTAGTTCACTGATATACGAACATTCTTTAGGTGCATTATACAACAAGAATTCACAGCACCGTCCTTTATCGTCAACACATTTATCAATTCGCTTTATTAGATTCCCGCGAACCTTACTGAATTCTAACAGTGCGATGTTTTGCGATACAGTTATGATATTTCATTTCAGTTTGTTTAAGGAATGTGGCTGGAGAGGGTAAACAACGAAATTCGTTCGGTACCGTAAAAACACTATGTAACAGGCCAGGGCACAGGTCCATTTTTGTGGATCCATTATTGTGGAAATGTTTTATCAAGTCAAGTTCTTCTCATGTTTCCCAAAATCGCAGATCTGAGGTGTTCGCCCAGGCCAAATTCGCCTTTTAATCATCCGGCAAGTTTACCGTGCAATGACTGACAACTGTGACTTGTTTTCCATTGCGCAACATACGATGACCAAACCTTATCCTTTAGTAATCACGAATTGCAACATCAACATTTGTAGAAAATAAGATGTTTGAACGTTGTTTGACCGCAGAGTACATTCTAATACTACAGTGCTGAGATTAAAGTTCGTGTATAGAGGCTAGAAGACCGTAGTTTAGATATTGGGATATTTTACTGGCTTGGAAGTGTCGCAGTGATTTAGAAACCATTTAATCGGGACACATTCAGTTTGGACATTCAATTTTTCGAGAAAGTCATGGTGATCGGAGATTAAAATGGGCTGTCAGCATTCACTACGCACTGCCTTTTTCATTCAGATTTGAGTTCGATTTTGTTTTCTTCCGGTTAATCACTTGAGGAACAGTCTGGTTTTTAATGAGAAAAATTTTGCCTGAATTCGATTTTAGCCGTCCGTTTGCTACGGCTGAATGTGTTATTTTCATCAACTGACCACGTTTTCACACGAAACTGACTAATTCTCATAGGGAAGTGTGAAAATCATTGTGCCTGTCTAGCATGTAGCAACGCGTTCGTTATTCAATAATATACCCTATTTGTGAGAAGTTAATTTAAATGAAATGGATAAGTACTGGCCAGGAAAGTCAATCAAATCCGGTTTCTATGCTGCTTTTGATCTCTCGTTTCGGTGATTTATTTCATCAATGATTTTGTGGGGAAAATTGGCGAAGTCACGAATGCGCTGCATCAGAAATAGTGTCATATTGTTGAGTCTGTGTGTTGACCAGTGCGTTGCATCGAGATGTTTGTTGATTGTGGCCATGCGGAACAAATTTCCGCTCCCGGGCTTCCAGAGGAGTATTCGGATTGTGAAATAGCACCTCCGAGGTGCCAGCATCAAGTACCTACGTCAATTCAAAACGAACCAATCAAATTCATCTTATTTTCATTTAAATTATGGTCACGACTCGCTTCGTAATTCGATTTACCGCTTCCTTCGACAAGTGAAGTTTGATCAGTCGTACACGTCTACTCACCCGACATTGGAAGCTTCGTTGGACGATGAGGATAATGATGATGATTTGGATGATGATGATGATGATGATTATGATGATGATGATGATGATGATGAT